GGAAAGAGAGGGAAATCACCAATGTAAGCAGCGACAAGAGAAGAGAAGAAAGGAAGAACAGCACCATAACTTATCAGGATAGCGGTCGTTGCTTCAAAAGATTACCACAGACAAAAATATTTACGTACATAATATATATATATATATAGTGATCAGAATACGTATTTATACATTAAATCTTACCGGAGCTCACAAGGATGGAGAGATCACGACGAAACCTCCGATAAGGATTAAGTCCTCTTCTGATGCAAAAATTGTTCAAATATTCTCTCACCGGAAAAACCGCCGTTAGAGTCAGGAAAGCCACCGGGTTATTATGCCTACATATCTCCAAAAATTAAACTAAAAATTATTATTATTCGAATACATTATCACATAGATGAAAGAGAATATTACAATGATATTTTACATATTTACGTAAGTTGTCGATATATATATATATATATAGCAACGTGAAGGCCTTTGATTAGAATAGATATATTAATTAGAAGAATGTTGAAATATCTGACCAGTAATATCGGTTTAGTAGGTTATTTGATTAGAGGGTTCGTTTATCATTTTCTTCTTTCTATATTTAAAGAAAATTTTCCCTAAATAAAAAATTAAACCTAATCTGAGATAACCATTTGTGAAGAAGAAAATTGAACTGTTTGTGAAGAAGAACGCTCACAGAGAGATAAGGAAGAAGACGTAGAAGAGAAGGATGTAGTAACCGATGAAGAGCTTGACGTTCTTCTTGACTCGGGTGACGGCCTCCTCCGCTGAGTCAGGGAACGAGTAGAGATCGTGTCGGCCGCTGAAAACGGTAAACGACGCCGTTTTCTCTATGTTGAAGTCATCCATCGCTAGGTTAGCAAAAGGGTTTATTCTCAGCAGAGAGAAGAGAATATCCGCCTTTCCACGCCCGGAGATTGCCACCGGTGATGACGTGGCAGCGGAGACAGAGCTCTGCTCCGGCGGGTTGCTCTTTTCAGTTTCCATTGTCTTTGTCACAATACTATGTTTCTGTCCGAAGATATACATACATATATATATATATGGAGAGAGACTTAATGACGAAATCGTGCAAGGAATTCATTGATTGTACGGAACACGAGCATCGTCAAAGAAATTAAAGAGTAATATCATGCAACTTTTCATATGAACATCACTATTTTTTTTTTTTTTTGATTGATAACCGAGAGGTTCACCTGGACCCTTCGACCCAACCTACATCCCCTCAGACCCGGAAGCAGCCTTTAGAGGCCCGGTGACAGGGGCCCAGAGAGCAACACCCTCCCAACCGAGACTCCCTCCCCAGCAGCTAGATTCGAACTGGTGATCGGGGCCCCAAGAGCAACATCACTAGTTTTCAAATGACTAGTTTTAGTTTTTATATATATATATATATGGACTTTAATGTTATAATATACAACGCGATGTGCAACACGACGAAAAGAGAAGCTAATGTATAATATACATAGAGATCAAAACTATAGTAGAGAGAGCCCTCAAAATCCAAAGCTATTAAAAGAAACGATATATATAGTTTTGTAATTATGATTACATATTTAATAATCTAAACGAAAGAGAATCCTCATTTTTTGGGAATTATCATCCTGTTTAATAATATACTTGGATTTTTAATTTATAGGCAGACCACAGAGATATTTCAAGGTTTATTTAATTTGGGCCTCTTAAAACGAACATTGATATAAGTTATAACACAAAGCCCATTATAATACAACCAATATGGGCCTAAAAACGGGCCTTGATGCTCCACCATTCTCGTATTGGATGTCGAACATACGCACACATGAAAGCAGTGTTGTAAATTTGATCTAAGCAAACAGGATAGCGAGGTTGACACTATGGAAAGTCATAAACAGCGGTAAAAATTGTTGAGTTAAATAAATATTAAAAAAAATATTTTAAAATTTTTTCACTTGTAATTTGATATAATATTAATTTATAAATTTATAGATATCCCTATTTATTTTCGAACTTATATTTTTTAACACAGTAATTCTTAAACTTATTTAACATTTGTATAATCGTTCATACCCAAAGTAAAGTTTAGAAATTAGTATATTTAAAAATATAAATTTAGGAATTATTATATTCAAAAATACAAGTTCAATAATTGTTATATTCAAAAATATAAATTCAGAAATAAATAGATACATCTTCAAATTTAAAAATTAATATTACACAAAATTACAAGTTTATAAATTTTTAAGTATTTTTTTTAAATATTAATGGGTGATATTTTGGAAGTATAAAAAATAAAAATATTTAAAAAAAATAAATGAATAACGAACACTTTTCTTTTGGTTCATTTTACCGACGATAATCATTACTTTAAAGAAACATAATTAGTTCAGTCATAGTCGTTAGCCGTAATTTAAGTTAATTTATTTGTTTATTTAAATAAAAAGAGAGAGAAAGAGAGAGAAAGAGAAAGTTGACGGCGTCACTGAAAAGGTCAAAGGAGACAAGTGAAAGATG